AGATTTGCCCATTGAATGACACGAGTTATTCATGCCGATCACCACGAGTTTCCCACCATCGCGGCTACCGACATCACACATCCGCTATCATACCGCCGCCACCGCCGCCCGAACTCCGCACCCACCATGAATTCCATGACCAATGAAACCTAACATTACCGATGACTGTCAAGTCTGCCTCACGCATAACTATGCAAACAATCGCCTTACACGTCTTCGATGTCCTTTTGGCCAAGCTTTACGCTACAACCAGAGCAGAACGTGCCTTGCATTCACCGACTACACATCAAGCTTTTGATCTTCTTGTAATGATCAAGGAGCCTACGAACAGAGTACACAGTTAGAGCATCCGTCAAACATGTGTTCATCTAAGGCCTACGATCGATGTGACTCTAACTTGGAAGACTCTAGCAAACTCATTAAACGGACGATGAGAGAGACCACTAAGCGAAATTCACTGACTCAGCCCCCAACGAAGTGGTCTAGATTATCATGTCCGGTTTCTGCGAACAAAGTGACTCGGAATCGCCTTCATCACTTCGCGAAAGTATGCCGTTTTTCCAGCGTTTTAAGCAACACGATTCAAGTTATTATCGCAGCGGCGCCCATTCCAACTATACGCAAGGACGCTATACCATTAGTAGAATTCTTCAAACACAGAGACCGAAGTATCTGTGATTAACAGTCCACAGACGCGGGGGCGGGTCTGGCGTGCTTGTATTTGTAACTAACGCAACTCCGACGTGAGTTCTAGCAATCTCTTCTGGGCGCATCTCCCAGCCTTGCGCTAGAAGACACAGATCTAAGATATTATTCAAACCTGCGGTCATCGCCAGCGAACAACGAGGCCGCTAATCGCTACGATCCACTGTTCCATTTACAACGCAACTGGCCTGCTCACCGCGCACGCCACAGAGGGAGCGTAACGACACGTACCCGCGCCCAGAATTACACGCACGTGACACGCAGGTACCAGCACGCTCAGGCCAACGCCCGGGCTACACGCCAATGCGCCTACACCACCAGATCACACGCGCGCTCACCACGTAACACGCCGCAAACTCACGTACTCGCGAGTACCCGAAGATACACGACAACGTACACGTCGCGGTACACTCGCCCGATACTTCGGCCGCGCTCGCTAGTGGCTGTACCGCGATGTACACGCTCGGCTGCCTAGATTCCTCCGTCACTCCAGCGTGTTACCGTCGCCAGCCTGTCGTGCGTGTCTACGTGCGTAGTGCCGCTGCATGTTTCGGCTGTAGCCGCTAGCGCAGTATCTGCCGCGTGTGACCCGTATGCCACGTTTACTCCTCTCGCGTGCTTACCGTGCCTGTCCCCAGTCCGCTATACGCTCGCTTGTTACACTTGCTGTCGTCGTGCGTGCTCTACGCGCGTGTAGTGCGTGTATCTCCGTACCCACGTTACGTGGTGTATCTTGGCGTGTACGGTGCGTTGTACCGCGTGTTAAGTCACTTACATCCTGAGGTTCTCGCATGCGCGGGCTTGCCGTGCGTGAGCCAGCAGCCTGTTCGCGCTAAGCGTGATGTTGTCGAGCAGGCATGAGAGACGTCCGAGCCACGGTTCATGTTGGAACTGTTCTCATCCAGTTGATGTCCAGTTTGTGTACCTGCGTGTACGTGCGCGTGTTTTACCCGCGGCCTGGTGTATACGCTCGCTTGTACCTGGCGAGGGGGCGAACCCCCCAGCTGCCCACAGCGTTGCTGTCTCTTCCACGCATTCGAACAGGGCTGCAAAACACATGAGGACACGGGCTGCGTCAGTTGCTGGTAACAGCATTGCTGCGGCAGTGCTGGAATAACGAGCATGGGCTGCGTCAGTCGCTGGATAACAGCCATGGCCTTGGCGTCAGTGTTGGTAACAGCATGGCTTGCGTCAGTGTGGGATAACAGCATGCTGCGTCAGGTGCTTGGGATATTTGAGATCATGCGTCGTGGCTGCCTGTGTACCGCGGTTAGCCACTGGGGGATAAACAGCACTGCATCGTCAGTGCCTGGATAACAGCGATGGCTGCGTCAGTGCTGGATAACAGGTCGGGGTGTCTATTACTGGTGCAGTGTCGTTGGAACCGTCGAATCTCACGGGCTCGAGATAGTGTGGGCCGTGTTGCGTCAGCTGCTGGAATAACAGCATGGCTGCGTGCGTGGGATTGGTTACTTGGGCGTGTACGTCGCCGGTAACAGCAGCTGTACGCGTGTACGTGCATTGTAACCGCGTGGTCAGTGCTGTACGCTTGCGAGTTTGACATATCTCAGATGTGAGCCCGTCGCCGTTCGTGCTTGGTACGTGAGTCAAGAGTCGACGATCTGGCTAGTACGGTCAATGTACTGGTGGGCGATGTATACCAAGCAGCATGGCTGCGTACAGTTGGCTCGGATATGTACCCTGCGACATAGTGGCCGCTGTGCGTGTTACCCGCATGTTACGCTCGAATTGTGTACTCTCGCGGGTAACAAGCTATGTGCGCCGCCGTGTGACGTTGCGTGTGTGTGCTCTGCGGTAAGATACACGTTGGATCTGCGCCGTCGCCGTGGCTGGTAACTAGAATGGTATTGGGTTGATCGATAGCGTGTGCGGATTGTAGATCATGTGCCTGCGTTTGTACGTGTAGCGTGCTTGTACCGCGCGAACAACCATGACTGCTGTACGCGGTGTACCTGCTGGTACTGCTTACTAGACGTAAGGTTCGCGACGCGCAGCACACCAGTGCTATACAATTGGCTCCTCGCTGTGTCCTCTGCTGTCCAAAAATTGTTTTACTCGCGTATCCGAGTGCGTTTTTTGTCATCGCACAAACGTCGTGTACCGATGGCCGTGTATACTGCGTTTGTACGCTGCGTGACTGATACGCGCGGTGTTACAGTGGGGTGGTTAACCTCCGCTTTCTTAGTGGCGTGTGCCCTTGCCTGAGAACGCCTGTTAACGAACTGTCCCATAAGCGCCTGTGAAGCGGCGTAACAAATATTTTTCCGATGCGATGTAACCTCTTAGTATGCAGCGCGTCGAGACTGCCGGCAATATGTGATACGTACCGGATCGCAACATTAACTATGAATAACAGTGAATGCAGTTGTCTTGTGCACCAATCTATCCATTAGAATAATCTCCAGTGCGGCGTTTCTTTAGAGGAGTTACACGCATTTATTTTATTATTTAATAATATAATGAATAGGTATAATTGTGCTCTCATGATTGTTAGTAGGTGACGTAGAAGGCAGGTGAAGTTATATATGGGTTAATATAATATGTACAAAGACTAAATGGTATTTGTTGTAGACTAAACTTGATGCTGTTGGGTGCTACGTTAGATTGTGCTCAAGTTATATGTTAATCTCCGGTATCTCCACTATGGAGGTACTCTAGTGAATATATAGTGGAAATGTAATACGGACTCTCACCCCGGTTGAAAGTAGTATTAAAACTAATAGATAGGTATTATAGTTAGACTTATATAGGAGTCAAAGGCTCGCTCAACCGCGATAATTGTGTCGTTCTCAGTAATGCGACTCAGACCTTGCTCCCCAAGATGTGTATTAGCATAGCGTTTAGTTTCGCTGTTTCGCGGCTGATTAGTGTGCATAGGGTCTGACTCTCTCCGAGAGCGGTCTTACGGATATGAACATACGATATAGTCGTCCAATCTATGATTAAGTTACTAGACATAAACGCGTTACGACAGGCTCGGATTAGTTTTACCAATTCTCATCCGGTGAATATCCGTCCCACCACCACGGATGGCCCTGCAGAGCTGACAGCGAAGTCTGTGAACAGCTGGCTCGCGGATTGCTGGACAGGGATTTCTTATCGTCCCTTCCTCGCGTCATTCTGCAGGAGTGTACTACTGATACATTCGATATTTCTGAGCAGATGTGACTACGGTGGCGCTCTCCGTCGGATTTCGATTCTCTCGAAGACCGAGCAATATCCGCGTTTCTGCGCTGCTCGGTGATGGAGATCTGTGCAGTGCTCTGTTGCCATTCAGTTATACCTAAACTCATTCTTTAGGTGGAATTAATGTATATATAGTAGAACCGCTTGAACTTGGATGCTGTGCTCTCTGACGCCTCGCCGGAACTCTCGTCAGAGTGGACTAGATTCTGCAGCGACTACTAGTAGCATCATCGTCATATCACGTCGCGCCGACGGGTATTACGATTGCCGTAGCAGCGTGGGCGAGTTAGAATCAGTGAGGTATGTATATGATAGTCGATAGTTGAGTATAGTATTTGCGGCATGTGACTAATCGTGCAGATTTTAAATGATGAAGTGATTAATTATCTGATGGCGAAATTCGGGATAAATATAAATTTCATGACAATCGGGTCAAAAGTGCAGAAGTTACAGGTTCTAGAATATTTCGACGAAAAATGTTGTTACCATGGCAACGATGACTTCGCCCACACCAAAAACGATTGGCGTCTTCGCTTTACGATAACGCACCTCCATGCGAAATCTGCAGCCGGTAGAGCGTTCACAAAGAAATCTCTGCGGCGGCGGCGGCGGCGGCGGCGGCGGCGGCGGCGGCGGCGCGACGATGCCAAACCCATAGTATCCCCACGAACTTCGTTCGGGGGATACAATAATTAAGAATGATCTATAGCAGACGAGTACGAGAGAAGCAAAGCTGCACTTGTGCACTGCACGCAACAGTCCGCATGCAATACGTCAGCGTGCAACAGTCAGCGTGTAATACGTCAGCGTTCAATGCGTCAGCGTGCAATACGTCAGCGTGCAATACGTCCGCGTGCAATGATTCATGACTGATTATACTTTTTATTCCATCGGCATATATTTGTCGAATAGATTTTAAACGAGTTAGTAAACTTTGCGCTAAACCAAAATTGTAGATTATTGAGACTCCATATAACAAATGCTGATGCACTAATTGCACGCGTAGATGCCAAGCGCGTTCTCACGTAAATTTCCACACGACATCGCACGAGATGCAGAATATTAAATTGAGAGTCCATTTTGCTAATATTGCACACAACTGACCAGCATAATAGCAGATAAAATCACATTTCAACGCTGTGCGTGCTTTAAAGTGTATAATATAAATGCATTGCAGCCCTTCCGAGCTGTTGTCGATACATTCCCCGAGTGCTACTTGCATTCAGGTATAATTGAATAAATTCTAGCCCATATTGAACCGAGACAGTCGTATAATTAGGTTAGAACGGAAATTAAAACCACCGCAATGGCTACATTTGTAAAACAATGCAGACTACGCGAACTTTCTGACCAAGCTGTATATTTCCCTCACTTTTGTCTATTTTGACCTTATTCGATGCTCTCCCGGCTGTAAAAGCCAAATGTGATTAAACAGTAGCCAGCGTAAGCGACTTGTCCGCCCCTCCTCGGCTTGATCAGTCTTCTTTTTCCATGCCGGCCGAATTGTTGATAAACGTGGCTATCAGTTAGCGGACAGATGTCAGTATCTCATTAAATAAAGCGGCAAGAATGACAACTAAATCTTTTTGTAATGACCGAAATGATGACTCGATGAAATAATGCAATCCCGTCTGAAATTCTAAACCGCAATAATGACATCGCATACAAATTGAGACCGAAAACTAATAGTCTTATTTGTAATTAAACCTAAAGAGATAACGCACTAGGAACTAGAAATGTAATCTAACCTAAACGAAATTTCGATTGAACAGTAATTTACATGATATAGTTGACTTGCAATTCTGTAAAGTTGTAACTTTAAAACAAAAACAAAAAAATACGCTTCACATTGAATTATATATACACTAAATTTATCGAATTGAAACTAAAAATCGGTCTAAATATTTGTATGATGAATTACGAGCAGATGAAACCTCTACACTCGAATATAATTATTGTGCACAGACATTCGCTGAATTATTTGTTTAGCTATATATTTTTATTTGATGTTAATATTATTTTGGAATTTTGCTAGTTTCTTTTGTGCTTGAATGCTAGAGTCACGAAAGCCTACTCGTACAGTATTAATATAGCTGCATTGCATGAAGGATGCGAGGACCTCTATAACGACTGAAATTGAGGCAGCATAAGCGTCTTCAAAATGATTTTATTTACCAAGCTCAGACATGAGGACGTCACGTGGAGGAATCGCAAGCACAATCGGGGATGAAAATAGAGAAAAAATCGCACGCAAAAGCCACATTTGCTCCCAACCTTCGGGGCAGTCATTGTTAATACGCGTATACGTGCGCGCCCACTTGTGTATCACACTGCGTGGATACCTCATCGCAGCTGTATACTCCTTGTGTGTAGATTTTTTTCGCGACGCTACATTTGCGTCGATAAAACCAACGACATGAAATACACTACTCTAATTACATTGCAACGCAATTAGCAATGTTGAAAAAGCAAAAACTAGTTTTTATGATGACGTCGATTTGGACATTGGACAGGAATTGATATTCAACCTGATCATAACAACTAGCTACCGACGCTTCTATAGTAACGGATTCTCTAGGCTATTAAATATCTAGGTAACGAATCTAACAAATTTCACTACAGTTCAACGACCTAAAAATAACGCAGAAGCAATAATAGCAAAAGCTACAACTAACACATAAAAATGAAAGTTATCACCCTCTCGCCCTCTCACCCTTTCGCCCTCAAGCCCAAAACGCGCGACCTCACAAGTTGCGCAAGACAAGTCACGGCACGCAGTTTTGGAATAAATACGCCCTCTTGAGAATTCAACCTGAGGTGCACTCAGAACAGAGACATTCGGATCGAGAGCAGGACCAACAGCCGACTGTCTCCGGCCACGGCGGCTGGCTCACGATGAGTCAGTTACCCTGGGCGGGACGCGTGATTTTGTGTCCTAGGTCAATCAAGAACATTGGGTTGTAGTGAGCGCTGCTATTGGTTGAGCTTGTTTCGTCGCTCAATGACGTCACAGTGTTGTCATATACATAGCACATCCAAAATTCTCAATTCAAATATGACTCAATATCCTATCGAGTACATCGCGAGCGTCAAGTATGAAAGGTCGGTGGATCGAATCCCATCTGTTTTCTAATTATTTTCCTGTTTTCTGTATTTTTCTATCTTTATCCGTTTAACATTTTTTTCCAATTAACGCAAATATTTACATGATTTATTTACATCATTTTAATAACAACAATTAATTTTTACAACAATTAAAAATTATATTTTTTATATATTTTTTTAAATAGGGTTTGGGTTAGGGTTAAGGTTAGGGTTAGGGTTAGGGTTAGGGTTAGGGTCACAATGCAGTGAATGCACGATAAAACAAGAGTTTGAGGCACGTGATTTATATCAACCAATGGCAGCGCTCGCTAGAGCCCTATGTTCTTGATTGACATAAGAAAAAAAATCACGCGGCCGGGACAACTCTGCCGTCTGGAGATTCTATTTGATGAACCTATTTGGAGACGCTGCCATCTGGAGATGCTAACCGATAATCCTACTTGGAGAATATTACGTCACCGTTAGCACCGTACCGACCGACGACACTGCTCGAAGGATTCAACACAGGCCACCCTCTACTACTATCTGCTAATAGGAGCCACCCCGAGATTACGAACCAACACGTACCTGCACAAGCCAGCCACCACTATACACTCGTAAGATCACCGCTACACTGATTGTCATTGACTATCCGGAACTATTCTATATGTTTGTTAAATATATACATGATTCTATACAGCAAATTCCTGGGTTATTTGCGCATTTATGTGTGTGGTTGTTATCGACATTTGCGTAGCACATCAAGTGAGTCATTTAAGACACATATGCCGTGGTGGTGAGAACCTCTTTATACTTCTCAGTGAGGGGCGTAGCCCATGATGATGTGTAGGGCCAGTTATTAACAGCTTGAATTGAACATCTAAAAATAAAATTCGTGACGTTTCGTTTTCATTTTGGCATTTAGCCTATGACTCGAGTATAAGCGATACCTTGTGTACATATTTGCTAATTAATTAAGCTAATCGTCCTTCAATAAACTCACGACTCACAGGGATCATAGCTAAGACATGTATATACAATAGCTAGAATTTATAGCAATGTAACTCGAATCGTTCACGCCATAATTATGATAGTTAGTAAACTTTCCTACCGGCCATAGCCGCGCATATATTAGCTAGTATGAGCGATACATTCCTACCGGCGTATATGCGGCGGGGTCCATGGGCGGGGTACGAAAAATGAAAACGAAACGTTACGAGTTCTATTTTTATCCTCCAATCACAGGTCGGAGCAATTACTCTGTTTAGACGCATGTTACGCGAGCGCACACGGCATTGTCCCATACTTGCATATGCATTCATGTAGATGTGTACATCACACCGAGCACACGCACACGCGAACGCATGCAAACACGCGCATGCACACATACGCGCCCACGCACAAGCACACACAAATGCACACACACACGCACACGCACACGCACTCGCACTCGCACACACCTACTATACACGCACGCGCGCTCGCACGTACACAATATACATACATTATGAGATGCATCCGCCAATATATCGCGCGTTGATTGAACTTTTACCCATTTATATTATATGGGTCAAATTCCAAGACAAGCGTCCGCCATTATCATTATAGTTCAAGTTCTGATGTATATGTAATCACTCACTTTTAGTCACTACAATTTGACTGGACCACTTTATAGCGCGATGTTTCATCGATAATATTAGGTACGCGGGAATAAAATGAATATGTGATTACATAAAATAAACAATCGCATCTTTTTATCATCTAAGGAACGCCATTCTCCGACGATGAGTTATCAGTTGGGAAAGTATTCTCACTATGTTCTTTGCGGTCACAGATGTTTGTGTATTAAAATTAGAGGTTTGCATTCACGTCACCGCACGAAATTATGAACTTGCTTACAACTGGCTCTGATATATAATAGGCCGGCAGCGCAGTCGTTACGATACCGACAGACAAATTACGAAGTTAATTATAGGAAATTATACGATTCTCAACTAGAATATATCTGATGTCGGTTTCACTGGAATCGCCACGGTCGGCAGACATGCGCTTAGTAACCCTCCTAACGAAACGTGCGATCATCGCACAGAATGCATTATGTATGACTAGCTAAAACCCGCGCTACGCGCGGGCTTAGTGACTGTGATGCATGTGTTACCAATACAGTAGTGTTCTGTGTATAAAGGTGTTACATGGAGAGTTTAGTTGTTGCACATGTTTGTTTTTTTATGGTTGAGATGTCAATACAAATACATGTACAATCATGTTACCGCTAACACATTAACCATTTGTTTGGCAAGTACACAGTGAAATACAGACACACGCACGCACGCACGCACGCACGCACACACACAAATGTTTTATTGTATGCTATGTAGAAACTACTGGTTGATGATACGGACTCCAAAGTTAGAATATAGATAGATCTGAATGGGCTGGTAGGTCGGGCGACTGATGAACCACTTGGCTGCGTAGCACGTAATAATACTAATATTACGTGCTTCGCATGTTTCCACTGTGTGCGGACCAGGTAATATTGCGTGGTTGTGATCGCTTATTTCTACGCATGTTTGCACAACAAATACAACTTGTACATCTCGTATGGGAAAATAGCTACTGAATATTTAACTTCATTATTACATGGTTATTTCTACTTACATTATGGGGCTTACACAAATCTCAGCACACAGACACAGAAGTTAGAACACAGATACACAGAACAACACGAAATTGAAACCTGTTGAAACCACTGATCTTTAGTATATATATATATATATATATATATTATAGAGATCAGTGGTTGAAACAGAACGAAAACAAAACAGCGCCCCCTATTTTGAGGCAAATGTGTACGTTTTTTGTTTTGTTTTTGTCTTTTTAAAGCCGTTTTTACGGTTTTCAACCGAGTATAGTTTAGAACCCGTCCCGCGTGTACTCATCGATCTCTTTTGTAAATTTGGCGCTATTTGGATCCAAACTGACGGAGCCTTTCATTAACATTCATACAACATTCGCCAAATTATAGTAAGATTCGATGCCAAATAACCCACTGCCGGGTTATAGTCCAGGCAAGGCGTAATCGTCATAATAGTGTAAGCTTGTTTTTCAACATATATAATGTTTTTTTGCTGTTTCTGGTCAATTTTAGGATGCTGATTCCAAATCCGATGTATGCCAGCTCGTAAGTGTTGAGCATTTTTTTCTAGAGCACAAAATCCAAATGTCCGCCGGAAAATACACTTGTTTGTAAATAACGGCGACAATATTGTATTTAGACTCTAGGTATGCATAGAACATGTATATAAACTTGGCTATTGCGAACATTTTGGTACCAACACTATTACTCTATCTGGTGTAGTTCTTGAGATATGAACTTTTCATGGTTTTTCTTTTTACGCAATAGCGCCAATTCCCAACGTGAGTAGTCTGCGCTATATACTATATACTAGACATATTACATGTTTTAACAATTTTTCAACAATTCAAACCATCTGGTTTCAAATCTGATGTATGCCAGTTAATACAGGTTCAGCATTTTTGAATAAAAACAATTAAAAATGGCAGCCAAAAACCTTATAGCAGACATCGATTTTAGTGATTATGTATTGCCAGTAATATGTAAGAAGGTCAAACCAATGTCAGCCGTTACAAAGCAAAAGCTGAACAGTGAGGCTCCTGATAATGTGAACACTAAACTTATCTATGCCCGAGTCATTGGAATCATGGCTTCTTCCAGGGAAACCATTTCTACCAAAACCCTCTTCTCCTATGAACTAGCTTTCTTTCCATCTGCTCTGTTCAATGCTAATGGTAACATGAGAACAACCTCCAAGTCTGTGCTGAAGTCCAAGATCAAAGTGGAATGTAGTCAAAGAAACAGGGCGCCTTGCGAAGTTGTTATTCTAGATGGTTGTGCAGTTCTGTGGACAGTTTCTTGGCCTGCATCACCTGCTGAGGTGTCAACTTTTGTCAGTGCTGTTGTTGCTAGCATAATGCGTCATGTGAATGGTGCACAAGTTCTGTATGTGGTGTTTGACAGATACTATGAGACAGCATGAAGTCATGCTGTCACGCACAACGTGCAAACGGTGTCAGTCGTGTGTACAAACTTACACCTGATTGCTCACTACCATAGCAAACTGTCACCTTAACTGTCACAGCTAACAAAGAGCAGATCATTCGAATGACCGTAGATGAACTGAGTTTGTCTGACGTTCCCGAGGGCAAGAACATCATTGTGACAGGACCTGATGCTCGTCCCATTGACGTAGGTACTGGTACCCAGCTCAAACCAGTGACGCATGAGGAAGCTGACATCCTCATTGCTTGTCATGCGATAAATGAAGCTGTGGCAGGGCATTCATCTATCAACGTTGTGTCTCACGACACAGATGTCCTTGTGAACCTGGCGCACCATCTACATGCGCAAACAAACGACATGCCAAGCAGTGTATCGACTTCGTTGTGAGGCGAGGAAGGGAACAAACACTGTCATTGATAGACGATACACGGAGTTGTGTGTTACTGAGAGTCATCTTTATTCGCCTCTTGTTCGCGCCCAATTCCCACAATGCTCTGCCGGATAACATAACATATGAACGTCTGAGTAGACGTTGGTGATACCACATCTCCCTTTTCCTTTACTTTTGATTACAATGAGAAATATGTACACTCATGAAGTATCCTGGTTAAGCAAACACAATACTAAGAATACTGATTACTTGAATACAATACTAAGCACTTGTGCGCATTACGTTGTTCATACTAGATTAATTCAAAAATAAAGTATCATTCAAAGGACACTCAAAGAACCCAAAAAACTAAATGGAGGTAGACTGCTCCAAGTAGTCTGCAAGAGCTGAGGATTATTCTGCTTCATTATTGCACCTGCTATTCCCTATCTATACACACAATACAGCTCCGAGTAGCTGTTATCTAGTACTCCTCAACATATCTGCGTGGTGGCCTGCGCATTCTCTCAGACCGCCGTGGCTCCGATAGTGTCTCTGGCTGTTCGTTGAGAACGGTTGGCACGTGTTCACCCAATGACGATTCCACCGGTCCCGGACCCTCGGGTAGTGCGGTCAGCTCCGTTGGGACAGCAATGCATTTTGACTGAGGCTGCATGTTTTGACTGGATGTGGGGGGCAGCAACCCCCTTGCCATGCGACGGTTACGCCTGACAGTGCTCTTGGGTGTCTGTATCAGTACCGACCTAGGAGCACTGTGCATTCTTACCACCGTGCCTTCGGTTTGCTGATCTGGGATCCACACCTTATCTCCAGGTGACAGTTGCTCACCTTCCACAACTCTGTGTTTGCGATCATAGTTGCGGGAGATTCTCTCTCGGTATATTATTTCCCTTTTCTGCAAACTGACGTAGTCTGGCAGTTTGGGCAACAGCTCATCTGGGTGACACGGAATTCGTGTTCTAAGCTTTCGACCCATGCTCAGCTGTGCAGGAGAATAACCATTGTGGAGAGGTGTGTTCCTGTAGTTGAGAAGAGCAAGGTATTCGTCATCACACTTGTTCAAAATGGACTTCACGGTCTGAACAGCTCGCTCAGCCTCGCCGTTTGATTGCGCGTAGCCTGGAGACGACGTGATGTGCTCGCATCCCCACTGTGTAAGAAACTGCTTGAACTCATCTGAGTCAAATTGTGGTCCATTGTCAGAAAACAATGTATCACATATGCCATGTCTACTGAACACCTTTTTCATCTTCAGCACGGTCTCGGAGGTGTTCACACTCTTGCTTACCAAGCATATCTCGACATCACGTGAGAAGTAATCGATTACCAGTAGATACATGTGGCCCTTGTGGTTGAAGAAGTCTGCACCAACCCTTGACCAGGGCCTTTTTGGAAATGCAGTGCCCCTCATCGGCTCGATTGTCTTTTTCCTGTATTTACTGCACAGGTTGCAGTTCCTAACCATTTCATCGATGTCGTGTGATAGTCCTGGCCGCCATACTAATGACGCAGCATTCTCACGTGTTTTTGTAACTCCTTGATGTGCATCGTAAAGATACCTCATGATGTCGTTCCTCAAGATGCCGGGAATTACGAGTCTGCTCCCTCTCAAGAGCAGACCTTTATGTAGGCTCAAGTTACCTCTCTCGGCTCAGTATTTATTGACTGGCCCAAACAGCTTGTATTTGGACTCGGGCCAGCCATGCTCCACATAATACATCACAACCTTGAGTATGTCATCCCTCTTAAGCTCACGCCTTATTTCTTCAAGCCGTGAGTGTGATGCTGGTAGGTTGACCATTACGGTATCGACGTAACACTGTGCCTCTTCCTGTAGGTCACTCAGATCACCCACGCATTTGAGTGGACTGCGAGATAACGCATCTGCTGCGTACAGTAGCTTCCCTGGTACATGGGTGATTTTGAAATCGAACCGCATTAGGCGCATACGGAATCTCTGGATTCGCACTGGTAGTTCATCAATCAGCTTTGTAGAGAACAATGGTACCAGTGGCTTGTGATCAGTTTCGACCTTGATGGAGGACATGCCCATCAAAAGGTCTTGCCAATGTTCGAAAGCCCATGTAGTTGCTAAGGCATCCTTTTCGATCTGAGCGTACCTACGCTCAGTGTCTGTCATTTACCTGCTGGCGTATGCTACTGGTCGCAGTTCACCAGATGCTTGTCTCTGAAGAAGCACAGCTCCCAACCCGAAACTTCTCGCATCAGCTGATACGACTGTCTCTCGCTCTGGATTGTACATGGCCAGTATTCGCTCAGAAACCAGTTCCTCCTTGACATCCTTGAACGCAGCTGTTTGTGCTGGACCCCATAACCATGCAGCACTCTTCTTAAGAAGATCTCGTAGTGGTTTAGTACTTTCAGCCATGTGCAGGCAAAACTTCGTCAGCTGGTTAGCCATGCCAAGGAATCTTCTGAGTTCATTGACATCCTGTGGCTCACGAAAGTCAACAATAGCCTTGCTCTTTGCCGGATCTTTCCGGATTCCTTGACCGTCGACTATTTGACCCAGATAGTCCAGACTAGCCAATGAGAACACACACTTGTCGGGATTGAGGGTTAGGCCTGCCTGCTGCAGCCGATCTAAGACTGCCCTCAGTCGCTCGTTGTGCTCTATTTGGTTGCGCTCTGTCACGAGTATGTCATCCACATGACATATCACTCTGGGTAAGTCTTTCAGGATCTGATCCATCCTTTTCTGGTAGTACTCCGGTGCGGACGTAATACCATATGGAAGACGCTTGTACAGGAATCTCCCAAATGGCGTTATAAACCTCGTTAGCTTGCGACTCTCCTGGTTCAAGGCTACCTGATGGAACCCCGAGTTCGCATCTAGCTTCGAATACACCATACCTTCTGCTATTTTGCCAAGCGTGCACTCTACCGTAGGCATCGGGTATAATTCTTTCTGTACCGCTTCATTGAGCCTGGTCCGATCGACGCACATCCTGACATCTCCACTTCGTTTAGGGACAACAACGATCGGTGCACACCAGTCAGTTGGTTCATCTACTGACTCTACTACATCTAGCTTTACAAGGCAATTAATCTTCCTCTGCACCTTCTTGAGTAAGGGAAGCGCAACCCTACGTGTTGTCGTAAGACAGAACGGCTTGACCCCTTCTTTAAGGCGTATGGCATGCTCTCCTTCGAGTCGTCCTAGCCCGGTGAAAAGCATCGGGTATGCCTCCATCACTTCTGTCTTCGTCCGTAGCGGGAGTACTGGTGCCTTGGCATCAATCGCCCTGACGGTGCATGTGCCGAGGATGTGGTGAATCAGGCCCAAGCTCCTTATGGCTGGAACGCCCAGTAGTAGCTTGGATGCACCTCTAACCACACTCTTTTTCACCTGGGTATTCCCATGACATAAACTCATGTCGGCACACCCGACTATGTTTAGTCGCTTGTCTCCTGCCCCGACTAATTCCTTGTCAGGCATTGACAGCTCGCCGAAGGAATGATGGTACGCTTTCTCTGGCATTACTGACACCTGAGCGCCTGTGTCAATACACCATATCAACTCCTCTATACCAGCAGTGAGCTTGATGTGCCATCCGGGATCAGATGTAATTTCTTCTCTCACACCTCCCCCGAATGTGTGTGATGGCTGTTTATCATGGTGTCTCTCACCTTCTATCTGTCTGACCTGCATCTGTCCACTACTTTTGCAGATCGCCTCGAAGTGGCCTGTCTTTGTGCACTTCCTACACTTATGGTTGGCCGCCGGGCAGTTACGCTTTCCAAAGGGATGGCTCCTGTCACAGTAACCACACCTCACCCCTTGCTGTGGAGTATTCTTGCGTATTTTGTCATAGATATTTCCTTTCCTCCACGGTGTCTTCTGCGACACTCGTGGGGGCTGGTATCTGACAGCTTCAATACTAGCTGTTTTAGATTCTTTTAGCTCCTGACTTGTAGCTTCTCTCATTGACAGTACTTGGAATGCTTTCTCTAATGACAGCCTAGCACCTTGGTCATAGAGCTTCAGCTTAGCACCATCGTCAGCGCATGAAAATGTTAGATTGTCACGTATGGCTTGCTCGTGAAATTGTTCTGGGAATTTGCACTCGCTGGCTCTTTCTCTCACAGTGTTAAACCATGCATCTAAAAAATGCCCTGGCTCTCTTTTTAGATGTAGCCAGTATCTCTCTCTCAGCATTAACTGTGGATCTCTTTTAGTGAAATGTTCATCGTATTTTCGAATCACGTCGTCATGGCTCTTTCGAGATTCATCGACCGAAAACACAAAGTTTGTATATATTTCGATGCCTTGATCTCCTATGCTGTGTAGCAGTAATCCTATCTTCTGTTCGTTAGGCTTCGATGTAGAACCAGTGGCCTGTATGTATATACTAAATTTCCTCTTCCATTTATCCCAAGAATGCGCTAGGTTCCCACGATAAATTTCCAGTGTCTCTGGTGCTTTTACGTAAGCTTCCGCCATTGTTGATTCCTTTGTCTCTCAGCGTGTACAGCGTGACTCTGACTAGCAAATACTTATCACGTAATTTGCGTATTATGCCGCCGTGTAGAATCCTGTCTCTTTCTCTCACAGGCACTGTGATTGCAGGATCCCACTTCTGACACCATGTAGCGACTTCGTTGTGAGGCGAGGAAGGGAACAAACACTGTCATTGATAGACGATACACAGAGTTGTGTGTTACTGAGAGTCATCTTTATTCGCCTCCTGTTCGCGCCCAATTCCCACAATGCTCTGCCGGATAACATAACATGTGAACGTCTGAGTAGACGTTGGTGATACCACAAGCAGTGTACAACTTCTCATGGAGTCATGCACCAGAAATCGCGCTATGATTGAAGTCAATGAAGTTGTGAAAAAGCATGCACAAGTTATGCCCAACCTCCTGGCGGCTCACGCACTAACTGGTTGCGATTTCGTATCCTCTTTTGCTGGAATTGGCAAGGCAACAGTCCTGAAGCAATTGGAAGCATTTGCTGACACTATCAAGCTAAGAGATCCATCTACTTCACTGGATGAAATCGTCGACTCTTGTCTGGGATATGTAGGCATGTTGTACCGACAGAAGCATGACGAATCTCTGCGAGCAGCTCTTTTCATACGAAAGCTAGCTGGCAAAAGACATGTACCACCAAAACTGAGCCGCTTACCACCAACAATGGCAGCTTTCATACCACACTGTACCCGTGCCCACTATCAGACAGTTCTCTGGAAGTCTGCTAGCATGCCGTCATCTCCACCTCTAGATCATCAAGAGTTTGGATGGGAGAAGAAGTCTAACCTGCTCCAGGCTGTATATATCTGTGACGGACAGGCTATTGTGCCAGATGAGGTATTACATCTCATCAGCTGTGGTTGCAAATCTGGCTGCAAATCAGCAATATGTAACTGTACCAAGTTTAGTCTAGCATGTACGGAGTTCTGCAGATGCAGAGGTGAAGGAAACTGCGAAAATGTGGTGAGGAGGGTACCACAGGAAGAACTAAGCGGGGATGAGGAAGATGAAGATAATGATGAAGTTGTTTTTGAATAATTGAATGAAGGCCTTCTTGTGTTGTACAGTGAGACTCGTTGTTCTTGTGTGACATGACAGTGATCGAACCATTTGTCCATTATTTCATTACTTTGTTCAGTATTAAGGGTATGTCTGAATATGTCAATTACCTAAACATTTTTGGCCATGAGGGCTATCTTGGTTGTCCATATAATGTTCATTCTGGTAAATATAATAGATAAGATTGTTCTATCACTATTAGTAATAAATTTTAAACTTGATTAACAAAGTTGTTGTTCCGTAATTGGAAACTGGCAATACATAATCACTAAAATCTATGTCTGCCATAAGGTTTTTGGCTGCCATTTTTAATTGTTTTTATTCAAAAATGCTCAACCTGTATTAACTGGCATACATCAAATTTGGAACCAGCTGGTTTGAATTGTGGAGAAATTGTTAAAACATGTTATATATGTCCCTGAACATAGCCCAGACTACTCACGTTGGGAATTGCTGCTATCGTGTAAAAAGAAAAAACCATGAAAAGAACTACATTAGATAGAGTAATAGTATTGGTACCAAAATGTCCGCAATACCCAAGTTTATATATATGTTCCATACATACTTGGGGTCTAAATACAATATTATCGCCGTTATTTACAAAAAAGTGTATTTTCTGGTGGCCATTTTGGATTTTGTGCTCTAGAAAACACACACGATACTTACGAGCTGGCATACATCGGATTTGGAATCAGCACATAAACATTGACATGAAACAAACAAAAAACATTATATATGTTGAAAAACAAGCACCTGTGCCCTCTAGTCCGGACTATTAGATTACCACAGCCCGAGTACGTACGTAGACGAAGTCTGTGTGTACATACATATCCTTGCTCGTGCCGTGAAATGGCTCAAAAACGGCTGATTTGCAGGACACATTTGCAGACTGAAATTCCTTAACGCATAGTCCGTTTGCTCCCTGCTGACTCGAATTACTTCCATCGTCACCGAGCGTCTCGCAAAGCAATCGATCTATATGAATGAGACTATCCATCGATTATATAATTACGACGGGGTCTAATTAAAACTGCTCAAAATAAATCCACGGTGGCACGCAGACAAGCGTTAGACTTCACGCATGCGTGTATCTTGCGACTGAGCATTCTTTCTGCGAGAACCAGAAATTCGAAGTGCGAAATTAAGAGGCTAGAAATTTACATTTGTAACTATATCTAGAAAGCGAAATATTTTGCTCTTGGTTTTTAGCTATTCACATGTTTTTATCACGTGCCTGTATGGAAATGAATTTGCTTTCCGATGAAAGTCGCGTCCGCGTTGAAACGCCCGTGTGCATTTCGAACAGTATGTCAACGCATATGAGAATTTATGCGACGGCCAAGAATTTATTTGCTCGTGACAAACTTTGTTTTTGCAGTACTAAATAAGCTTAAATATCCTAGACCGCTTCTCCGGAATTTCGTCATCAATCACACTCAGAGGCACGTGCTTGAAAGAAACTGATTACTGGTCATGCAGTAAATATGTGATTACGTACAAATACATTGGTTGGTTGCCAGCAGTTTAATAAAATAATCGTACCACTGCCGGCTGCAAAAAGGCCGATTATGACAGTTGGAAAATCACATATAATAGTGATGGCTTCTTCCCCATCTGAGGGAGACAGACACACCGGCGGATTTACGCAGTAACACACTTTTTAGTGTTTAAACACACATGCATGCATACATGCACATACACACATACACACACACACACACACACACACACACACACACACACACACACACACACTTACGGACACACGGACGCGCACACGCGCACGCAATAATACACACATGAGGTGGTGGCGGATTGTAAGGTGTTGTTGTATGGCGTGATCACTGCCATCACAGTATCTTCACTGCGCTTACTCGATGCCCGTACGTCAGCTTTATTGACGGCGTTATAGCAATTGTCAAACAGTAGAGTAAAGGTATTATTACTACTGACCGAAGAGGTAATTTCCGTATAACGTTTCTTTCGCAATGGCAGGTTTCCCCTATAGATTAGAACAACACATTCCTCTCAAATGATGCGATTCGGTGTGCCACCGTAAAAACAAGAGGAGGGGGTCGATGCTTACGTTAAGGTGTATAAGCGTATAACGGTGAAACTTTATGTGAGTGTCCTAGCATAGTCATATATAACTTATATGAAACCGCGATATATTTGCATCCATGCTAAAATCCGCAGTAAATTGGCTTAGTTGCCACGCTCTGCTTTTATTCGAGTATAACGCACTGACCCTTTAATCAAGAAATTACGAATTCGGTCAACACAGACATCAACGAAATGAAGTACACATATTCAATGCATATTCGCGTTGTTTCGCTTAGAAATGATAATTGGTAAAACCAATTTTTGAAGATCAAAGCACTCGAACGCAACGGCTTGCATGGCAACCAAACAACCTATTCCACGGATGCCATCGATCGAACAGCATCCTTCGGCAGGATGTTTCATATCCGCATATACGACTCATGCTTGGATTGACCAATAATTGAAAATTCAAAACTCACACGGTCTCTCACCAAGCGACAAAAGCGACGCTATTAATTGAGACAGCACGCGCAGGATAAGCGCCCCGCCGTCACGAGTAATCTGGCTAAAATTGTGCAATTAAAAAACCAATTATCGCCGGTCAGCGACATTGCTTTCGTAAGAGGTAATCGCCACCGGTTGGCGCATGTGCTAAAGAAGCGCTAACATGCTATCGTACACCCAAAACACCTCTTTCGTAGACCTAACGCATGCAGCCGTGCAGCCGTCTGTACCCGCTGTATCACCTCCTCCTCCGCCTTTCCTCCTCCTCACCTCCTCCTCTTCCTCCTCATATTTCTCCTCCTCCTTCCCCTTCTTATCCTCCTTATTTACCTTCTCTTCCTCCACCTTCTCCCCCTCTTCCTCCTCTCCCTTCTCGGTTTCGCCCTCCTCCTGCTCCTCCTCCTCCTCTTCCTCCTTCTCCTACTCCTCCTGTCCTTCTCCACCTCCCTCTTTACTTTCTCTTCTTTCATCTCCCCCTCTTCATCTTCTTCCTTCTCTGTTTCGTCCTCATCCTGCTCTTCCTCCGCCTCGGCTTGTCTGTGTCTGACAAGGTCATTCCATACATAACGCGCGATAATCTCTACAGCTATGCATAACTGAATCCCACCAGGTTGGAATCGCCTCATGCGAATATCCTCGCTCCCTGCATTATTTGTTTATGTATGCATTATGTGTTATTAACGCTGGCGCTCGCTTAGCGATGAAAGGCACCGGGCGCGCGCAGGCCCGCGGCATCAGGTGAAATCCTCCGCGGCTCATTGAGGACGCGCACCCACACACGCTAATGGTTTACACAAGAGGTTAGGTCGGCTATGCTGGCTTTCGTTGTTATTCCATGCGCGTGTAACATGTTATCGGTCATGTTATGCGTCTGCGAACGCGTGCTTACGTGTGCGCGCGTTGGTTCGTATAGGTAGATATGCACGCGCGCATGTGTGTGAGCGCGCGGGTGAGTGCGTGTACACATGCGCGTGCGTGACCTTTTATGTCTCAAGCAGCTTTAATATGTTTCTATTTAATCTGATGTGAGATATAGCTGCACGTCAGTGTATGGCATACATCTAGGTTTACTTAAGTACCATGTTCGTGGCACGCGCCTCTAATTTAAGCCGGCCTTAGGTCAGGTTGCGATTGAATGCGACGCGACGTGGTGACGTACTGCAACTCACTCTTAGGTCGCAGTGCTTAGGTCGACGGCGACGCGACGAACAGCGACTGCCTGCGACTGGCGCAGAAGGTCGAAGGCAGAAGTTCGAAGCGACGATCGCCTATAGATCGCGCAACCATATGAGATTACATGACTTGTTGCTGTGTGCATGTTGTGTACATGACCGTATGCACTGATTGTTTTATTCACATGCA